GCGAATCGCTAAAACAATTTGCTCGAAAAATGGTAAATCGATCGATTGATACATGTTAATGCATAAAGTAACACTCACATATTCAACAAAATTATAAATTTCATTGAAACAAAATAACTAAATAAAACCTATGTTTTACTAAATTTGCTGTAATATATTATACTTATATTTGTGATGGCTATATCTGAAATATTACTGTAAAGTTATATTATAACATTGAAGTTATACCACATTATGGTACTCTAAGGATAATTATAAATAACACCAGTTGATAGTTTGAAAGTTATGTGCAATAATACAATAGTTTTACTATTACATTATACTTACTGATAGTTATACTATTACATTACAATATAAAGTAGTATTATAATGTATAAGTTATACTATATTTCATCATAATCGATGAGTTATACTATATTATATCGTAATCGATGAATTATAATACAATAATATCTGTATAAAATATCACTTTTTCATCTGAATATCATATCATTAAAATAACGTTGCTAATGGTAAAACCGGTCACCATGGAAACTTTTTCAGGATAACTGGAAGAATATATGCCTGAATACTAACTAAATAATTCATTCTCTAACGTTGCTAGCAAATTGTGATGAATGCTTATGGCATGCATATGCTTTGCTTTCAAATTTGCTTTTATTTTTTTGCTATAATTTGCTTTTACTTTCGCAAAAATTTATCCAGAAAAGTAAGGAAGAACTTGTTAATGAATAATGTAAACAAAATTTATCTCACTTTGGGAGAAAATAGCTTCCAATTTGTTGGGAAAAAAGAAGTTAATATTGTTAGTCATTAAGCAATTATAAACGAAAAAATCAACGGTGCATAAGTTTTTTAAATTATTTTTACTTATACGAATAATCTTTACAATCATAGTCAAAAATGAATCTAACAAAATTCGTACAATTTTCATGTCAAGATTGTGCATAAAAGTTTGCTAAAACAACAGTTCCTTAACCGAAATTCTTAATATAACTGATGAAGAAGCTGGGTTTTATTTCATACCTGTCTACGTGAGCTGATCAGCGCAACGATTTTGTGCTAACATTACCAAGGTTTCATGGTTTTTCGGAACGTACACTTATTCGTTTAATTAACCCAAAAGATGCCGTAAACTTTATCGTCTCGAGAGAGAAAGTTTTGGGAATTGCATCGGTGTAAATGAACTACTGCTACATTTGGATCATTGAAAGAAATGAAGCGCTTTTCTTCCGAGAATGACTGCGATTTTCTAAAATCCGACTGCTGCGATGCACTTGATGACTTGATGAAAATTGTATTAAACTTGATGGAAATTGTATTAAACGTCACTTAAATCAAGAATTTATAAAAAAGAGCGTGAAGGAATTTGAAATACATAAAGAACGGAATCAAGTATAGGAAATCTATATGTAAATTTTTATACTCACAATTTTCCAAGTTCTACAAAATAATGAAAGCCAATAACAAAAACGAAAAGCAAAACGCAAAGACAAAGATTGAAGAGTCGAGTGGTTAACTACATTTATCTCACCCTATTTGAGCTTCTTTTTTCAAACTTGAGTGGCAAATATGCATGCGACAGAACCAATATCTTACCATGTACAAGTTAATCACATGATTTTTAAGTTCAAATAAGCTCTACAAAAATAAAAGAGCTCTGAAAAAAAAATTCTTGAGTGTGACATAATGGGACAAAGGTTAATAAATATATGGAGATATTAATTAAAATGTTTCAAAAACCACACGAAACATTCTAAGACATGCCACAATTGTGGAAAAGATGTAATTCAATAGATTTTTTTTCCAAAACTATTTTATCAAAGCAAAAAAAAAGAAAAAAATGAAAAAGGATATTCAATTCTAATAAGCGAATTCTTCGCTCGAATCATATTCATCAAGAGATATTCTTCATTTTATTTCGTCGCTCGAATCATATTCATCAAAAGAGACATTCTTCATTTTATCTGCATGAGTGTCTAATGCATCGAGACATCGACTCCATTGGTAATTTACATTTCTCATTGTATCCGCAGGATAGAGTTCCTGCACCTTTTCCTTCAGCCAGATAAGCTAAAAGAAAGTGAATATTATGGAAAAATAACCGTACCATAAAATCAGGATAATTCTGAATGAGACCTTTGCGTAGTACAAATCGAATTTCTTTTAGCCGAGCAAACAGAAATTTAATAATTTTGAAAAAAGTCATGCCGGAAAGTTCTATGCAGGGTAGTTCTCTGCAGCTTTTGTCTCAGAATTGTAAAAATTCATGCTCTGAGTCGAATCCAAAACTTCTTGATGAGATTAAAATAGGATATTTTCGAAAACTTTATATTCTAGCAGAACAAGACATACAAAGTGAATTCAAATTATGGGTGATCAAGATGTGTTCCCTAAATTATAAAGGAATCATCTGTCGATCACAAAAGATAGTGAAATATGACAAAATAGATCAGGAAACTTATGCAATAGAAAAAAAAAAGGAAATTGATCGCAAAGAAGATATGAATCTTATTCTCTGGCCATTAACAAAACATATAAGAGCAGATGAAAATGAAACGAAATTTTGAAATTTAAGGGAAAACCTCGAAAATTTAACTTACTTTGGCTTGGTTTCGCTTTTCTTTACATGGCTTCTGAATGTCATCATCACCACTGTACAATAAGGTTGCAACTTTAACGACAAATCCTTCGGCATTTTTCTGCTGTCGTTTTATACGAGACAGAGTTTGAGGCAACAAATAATCCCCTTGCGATTGGTTTTTTTCAACACTCTGTTCATATGTTGATGAACAAGCTGAGAAACGTTCATGTAATAGAAAAAAATCAGGCAAAGCTTAATCAGGATATCTAGATCAGCTGAAACTCAAATGACCAATATTTTTAAAGTTTTTAAAAATTTCCTAAGTGCTTCAAATTGTTTAAAACTTGCCAAAAAATAAGGCAAAAAAGAAAAAATGAGACCAGTCAAATCTAAAAAAAAAATCAGCACCATCATCCAAACGCATCCGTTTTACAGGAACACTATGTCGCTTTGAATTATCAAGATTGTCGCTCTTTTTTTCTAGTTCCAACAACAGAGTTTCGTAATCAGCCAATGCAGACAATGCTTGTAAGCAGCTTTTATGCAATGATGACAGTTTTTTGCGAGGATACCATATAGATATCATAGTTTCTATCCATTGAATCTAGACAGTAGTTCTCTCAAAACTAAAGGATTTGACTCGAGATTTAAAGTTAAGTTCAATCTTGAGTCCACTTTGAGGACTTTATTCATTAATTTGGATTTCTTAATCAAGAGTTAATTCCTAATCTGAATCCAAAGTCAAAGTACAAATAAAACCCAAATATTCTTTCCTTGTCTACCAACCTAAATTTAAACATGAAAAATTTCTTAAAGATACCCGTTCAACTTGACTTGTCTTCATATTTTCGGAAAATAGCACGCTAATCTCTTCACGCGAAAAAATATGCTGAGCAAGACGACGAACAAATGCCGTTGGATGAGATGAGGTAGCTACCAGACCACGAACGATCTCTCTGGGACAGTACTTGTAGACCTTATCTGCAAAAAAAAAAAGAAAAAACTGTACGCTTCATCTAATCTGAGACAATTTTAGACAGTTTAGGCCTCAGAAATCCCGTCATTGTTAAAATTCGATAATAAAAACTTTGCCGCTTTCTGACTTTCGTAATCTTTCTATGAAAACGACAGGAGCAACTGATGGTAACCGAGAAAAGGGATAATTTAATAATTTACCTCCATAAACTTTTCCAACATGAAAGAAACCATCTTCTTTATCCAAAACTTCATCCGTCTGCATCAGCACTGACTTCACCTCTACAAAACGTGCATTTCTCCTCAATCATAGCTTTAAGGCATTTGAATGTTTTATTCATCGAATTTTGCAAAATCGGTAAATCGCACCCATTAATTTTCTTCTTTAAAGTAGTTTTTGAATGACTACTGCCTTACATCAGCCATAAAATAACCAGCGCACAAATTGAACTAAATAATAAGGAATAACTTTAATCAAAGAATAAAGTTTTTCGCTAATCAAATGAAATGTGATTTATAAGCTGAAAGAGCAGCAAGGACCGGTCATCACCGAAATACAGCGGCTAGTTCTCCAGGACTGAAATAAGAAAAGATCTTTCCATATCCTGATTCGTTAACTGCGAATCATATGAACTAATGAAGTAATGGTTGTCGAATTGAAAACAATTATATGAACGATTGAAATCATAGGCTTATTTCGAAAAGTCCAATTATGATCTCATTCGATGCGCAGTCTAGCCGTTAAACAATCAAATTACCGAAATTCTAAACAAAACTTATTTCTGTATTCAAGAAATTCCTTTCAATCACTCATAAATCGGTCAAACAGATGAAAGATTAGGGGATCAAATGAGGCTCTCCGGTTACCTTTTTCAGATGCAGCACCGCGCATTGGAACCACAGGATAAACATGAAGTTGTGAAGCGCACAGGAAGCGCAGCATAATCATTTTGAAGTCCCTGTCAATATCTCTTTTAACAGCAACAACCATACATTTCAATCCATCCGCTTCACAACGAATATTATCGAGACGTCGAAGTAAACGGCCACAGTTGTAATTCAAATATTCCATTTGTTTCATGACTCTAGTTGGAGTTCGAGAAAATGAGGCCGGAAAAATTGGGTTAGTGTCATGGTGTCTTTCGACAAATGAAGTTACAGCACGACGTTGCAGAATAGGTCTACTACAGCTGACAGAAGGCTCGGATTGTAGAAGATGCTGCCTACGCTTCGCGCATAACTCAGAATCAACATGAGCTAATATTGACGAGGGGATGCCGTGGAACAAATGTTGTTTCGACAAGGTTTGATTCTGGAGTAACAGTTGAAGCGCTGAGAATGGTTTGCTTTCTCCGACATCTGGCATGCGCAATGATGAGGGTGCATTTTTTACGGGAATTTCCCTACTATAATGCGCTCCGCTATCATAGTACACTATCTCATCATCCTAGAAGCATATATATTGTTATAGAAAAAAATTACAGTCCAATTTTATTATGATTACATTGAAATATTATTAGCTTCAGAAAAATTAGAATATTTTAATTTTAACCAACAAACTTCACTTACTTGATTTAAATTGAATTCAAATGAAAAGACGATCCATCAGTACTGCTTAAATGTCAAATTAAAAGCAAAATATTTTAGTAAATTTTTTCCAAGATTGAAAGCTACGATAAAGTTTACCCTTCTCATAAGGGAAGTATTGTAACGCTTTGTTTGAACCGCAAATTTATCCGGTAACATATGTGCTTCGGTAAGCTGAAACACATTAAATTGTGTTCAAAGTGATTCGTGTAGTCAAGTCACTATTTGACCGCAAAATGAACTCGACCGAAAAGAAATCCCGAATCTCAAAATGCAACTTTAATTCTGAAAATCTGATTAGAATTTGGTTTTTATCAAGAGTCTCCTATCCTCACTCAAGGTTTTATGTAACCTACCCGGACTTATTCAAAAAAAAAAAAATAAGCAATATTCCAAACAAGTTGAAGTATTTATGGATAAAAACCCACCCTGTCGTTCCAAACCATACGTGAATTTTTCGAAACTGATATGTGTTTACATTTCTCGATCATAACATGACGTCGACCTATTTCCATGATTATGGCTCTCTCAACTTTTCCCTTCAGTTGAACACTTACATTGGAAAAAGGCCAAAGTACCCCTACAATATCGCTTTCACGGACTACACAGAAAATATTCAGTTTATCAATGTACAGGAGAACATAAGCGTTCCTGAAAATATTGAGTATAAATGATCAGATATCGATGGTAATATTGCCCAGTTATCATTAACGATGTTGGACAATGAAATGCACCCAATAAGGAGTATGAGAAATTCCGGTTGAACATTTGCAAAGGTGGAAACACCTTTTTCACCTTTAGAATGAAATAAATAATGTGCACTACTTTCCTAAGAATAAAGAGTAAAAAATAAATAGATTCAAACACATACCCTTCTTCTGCATGTGTTACAGCATAAAGCATAAATTTCAGCACATAACCGAAACGCCAAATTGACAATTCTGACCGTTTCAATTCATCGTTTCTGTTTAAAACTCGGACACATTCATTACTAATGTCTTTCCATTCATCTTTTATATGATTTACTAGAAAACAGAGCCTTAAAATTAGTGGAAAAAAAGCCCGGTATATTCCGCACAATACATAGATTTAGCACGATCTACAACCAAGTAATACGAGAGTATCTTAAGTCATATATGTTATGTTTTAGAATTGTTTAATGTCAAAAAAAAAGAAAAAAAAGAACTAAAAGGAAAGTTTAACAAATTTATAATAATATGTGAATTTTCCAAAATTTTATTAAACTACCTTACCTGTTAATTCACAAATACCAGTTGACACTTCATGTAATTTTTTGGTGATTTGATATGCCATTTTGTCACTCATATTATTGAAATTATTTGAACTGGATGACCAGATCGTTGGGCGTTGTTTCACTTCTTTGATAAGCATCAAACGTAATGCGTCCGTCCATAAGAATTTTTTGCGATTGTACGACATTAGACTGTAACTGCGACAGCATATGATTAATGTACATTTTCAAATTCAAAATACATAATTCATAAGAAAAAATACATAAGAGAACTAGATTCGAATAGCAGGTGGTCATGTATGAATGATAGTATAAGTTTGAACTAGTGCTTCCAAGTATTACCAAATATCTTCCCGAAAGTTTTGAGTAGGCCAAGAAGTTATCACTACTGTATGTTGATCAATTAAAATCACGGGAGATTTTTCTTACACGTCCACACGTAATTATATGTAGATAGTTTACCTAGCAATTATTGCAAACATGAATTTCGTAACGTATACATACGTAAAAAGTTACGGAACTCCAAATAATTATGTTGATAGGTCACATGGGTCATAACCTATGCATGCGTAAGAAGTTCCGGAGTTCCGGTGTCATTTTCATCATATATGTGTGGGAAGTTACTGAACTTCGTATATCACGTTTCTAGGTCACGTATGTAGAGGTCAAGAAAATGACACCGAATATAAAAGGTCATTCCCACATTCAGACTAACGTATTTCCCGCTCGATTCTCTTATCCACAAATTTGTCATGTCGTCTGCTTTACACTCCCTTCATCATACTTTGACATCTTAGCCTATCGATCAATTACATTCTATCACTGCAATCGATAACATCTGTTCTCTCATCAATATCAGTCACTTTTTCACCCCTTTAGCTTAGAGTTTGTTTTTTTGTTAGTTGTGCAGGGAAGATATGGTGTATCTAGTAATTTCGTTTGGGGGTGTTTGGTATGTCCGGTGGTTACGTCTATGTGGCATTTATTGTGTCTGGTAGTTTCTACAAGAGACGTCCAGTTTGTCTGATATTTTCGTGTGACAGTTAAATGTTGATAGATGAATGATGACATTCGTTGTTTTCATTAGAAGTTAGTTGCTAGGGATAGGTTTTGTCTGTTTGCTGTTATTCATTTAAAGCTCTTTGTTGAGAATTATACAAACATTTTGCCTTTTATGTAAAAAAAAAAATGGTTTTTATGAATTTATATTTATGTTGCATCTTCATTTAGATGGTCATGTTTGTCTGCTACTTTCATCTGAAGATAATACATACGGTCAAAATTGCTGTAGCAAACATTTTATGTGGATTTACTAATATTTACGACACTGTAATTGTCTCTTTGTCTTTAAACTCTTTGCATTCACCCCCAATTACCGTTTTGAGATTCTGGCCATCGCTGGTTAACATTAGTTTTTTTACAGGAATAACGGGAAGTCGTCATGTAGATGTTGATATAAGTTTAAAACTAAATTTGTAAGAAACTATATAACATAAACGAGGATCACATGCATAAATGAAACGACATCAGATGAAGTAAATTAGCAGATGTTACATTTGCTTGTCATACCTACGTAACTGTCCGCTCTAAACATGTCTCGGGCTATATAGTATTTCATGTTTTAGGAATGTTTGGAAGACCTCCATTCCTACGCTATCCGCTGTGGCGTTTCACTGCGTTGACGGTAGTAGTTTCGTTTACGGTGTCAGGATTTGTTTTTATGAAGTTACGTCATCAGGAAAACATGCGACGAAAAAAATGGGAAGAGTTCTTCAAGTAAGACTTAATTTGATTACTTAGTTTACGGAACACTCATTTACGCAGCAGGTGTTCATTTTTCTGTGGTAAATATGCTTAAAACCATAAATGATATAATTAATGTGGAATAAAAGTTGCGTAAATTCCTTATATTTATATCAACTGTCGTGCTGCTAGATTTTTATGCTAGGTTCTAATTTTTCGTCATTGTAGGAACTACGATGTATATGAGCATGTGAAAGAAATTTGCTCACATTCACCTGGAATAATGCATAGCTGCCCCAAAGACCTCGCTTTGGCATATGAAAAAGCTGGATTGAAAAATTAGTTGCGAAATGCTTTTAAATCGATTTTTTTAGTGATCCGGTTTATTTTCATTAAAATAATCCATTTTTACGCTACCTTAGATCCATGAAGTTGATAATTGTATTGTTTCGGTTTTGAAACGTCACTGCTTTATTATGTTTAAATATGACGTCTGGCTCCGTATTTATAATGCTGGATGAAGTGATGACTGCATAATAAAGTTAAGCAGTAAGGACAGGAGTAACATTTTGATTTGAATATTTTATAGATGGAATCCTGATGTTTTGGAATATATAATGAAGTCTGATAGGTGATGTCATCGCTTATCAATCGGAAAGTTCACCGAATTTGTACGAGCACCATCGCTTAAGTCTTGTGCATTTCATTGGTAAAATGGATGATAACATCATACTTCCATTTCCAGCAGCATATTTTTTGGTCTGTATGCTTTGCAAACATGAAATAGATATCACTTTCAGATGGCAGATTTAAGGGGTGCTCTTAGCTTTGTTAGCTTTTTTACGACTGAATATTAATATCAGATCAAATTTATTCATTATTTTGATGGTTTCTTGATATTAGAAGGCTCATTTGAGATTGTTTTTAGACATTCTTTAATGTGCTAAGGAAGAAAATGGTTTCAAGACTTACAATTTTATAAGTTTCCAAACTCTTTTGCGGTGACAACGTGAAGTGAGTTGTTTTGTGCGATGAAGTAAACTTTGGATTTTTTATTTACATAAGATGTATAATAAAGGTGGACGAGTTAACAGTTTACAAATATACAACAGCATGATAAACAGGAATCAAATATGTGAATTTAAAGATATGTATAATCTGTGCAAATTCTTTCCTTTCCTCTTTACAACTGATCTATTTCGATGTTGTAGCGTAGTTGTTTTGCTGAGAACCATGAATAATAATTGTCAAACTCGATTATATCTGTAATTTAAGGTATAAATTGTAAGTGTTTAATTGTCACATTTACTGACGGTTAAAATTACACTTATTTGCGGATTGAAGAAGGATGCTTGCTGAGAGCCATGAATAATAATTGTCAAATTCATTTATATCTGTAATTAAAGGCGTAGATGGTAAGTATTCGTTTTATGGGTGTAAATTATAAGCATTTATTGAAGATTAAAAATTACAATCATGCGCACAGTGAAGATGTTGTTTTGATTAGCCGTAATAGTAAATAATGTTGAGTTTTTATAGTGTTGTCAAAATTTCATTGATCGTCACTTGCTTTAAACAAGGCATATCGTCATCTCAAATAACCAGTACTAATTCAAATTCAACTTATCAACGCAATGGGGAAAGGCTTACATCTTCCAGCTTGTTCGCACAGGATAGATCCAGATATAGGCACTTGTGAGCATTCTAACCTAATGTATGGGAAAACAGTTTCCATTTCAATTAAATTGTTTGCTTTGGACGTTTTGTCGAAGTGTATACCGAAACCGATATCTTCCTCCGATGTCATATACTGCCAGCTGAAGTATATTTTCTGTTTACATATCTCGATTATGATGGTACTTTTTTTTGAGCCTGAATCTTTGTATCTCAGAAATTGATATAGCTGAAGATGCAATGTATCTCGTCGGTCCGAATGATTCGATCATCATCATGACATGCTTGCGAACATACCTAAAACATACTAAATTGATGGTACTTGGTCGATCGATTATTTCGAATTAAAATGTCAACCGGAATACCTTACGGCAATTTTCGCACATCTCTTTTCAATCCTTCCTCTAATGAACTCTGTCAGAACGCATTATTATTATTATAATACCCTATGCTGTTACCATATCCTGTAAAATAGATGTGTAAATGGTGATAATTAATTTTAAGATGAATACTTGAAAGTGTTAACCTGATTCGTGTATTTGCTTCAACTTTAATCTCAATGAGATGTTTTTCACCGGCATAAACAGTTGTGAGTTGATCATAATCAGGCATTGCATCATTTGGATTAATGTAACATGTATCAGGAATTGGTCCAAGACCATAGCGTATTTTAGATGGACATCTTGGGTCACCATTTTCGCATAACTTACCACCCCAATGAACAGGCCATGAATCCAGTTCAACATATTGTTTCAGTGCTAATTCCCATTCATCAATTGAAGGCATTTCGATTAATTCATGAAAAAAAAAGGAGAATATTTAAAAAAAGAAAAGGAGGATATTAGAAGTTAAAAAGATTAGATATCATTTATCTATAATTATATCTTTTCTTTAAAAAAAAATTGTCAGAAAAATATTGTCATCTATTCCGCAGTATCACTCAAATATTTATTAAATATTCATCATTATTAAGTAATTTATATTTATATTTATAATTGGAATTTGAAATTTGCATGTTTGAAGTTTTCCTTTTTTTCTTTCTTTCTTGCTTCTTTCACCTTTCCTTTTTTTTTTAAATTGAATATATAAATGGCATTTTCGTCAAGTAAAATTATTACGTGATTAAATGTATAAAATTTCACAATGTCAATTAAAAATTTACCTGTATTTTATCACTTAAAAATGCGGTCATCGTATTAAATGCAAGCCTAGCCATTTCAGGTGCTCGAATAATGAGAATTTTTTTAAGTACCAATGGATAATGCTCTTGGAAAAGTAGTACAAGTGTTGTAAAAGATGATGCAAATGCTTTGCATGAATAATGCGCACTACTGATATGATCCAAATCGAAAACAATCATCATTTGCTCAAATGCATGTCCAGTCTGTAAGAAAAAGACAAGAAATTTTTAATAAAATAAAAAAATTTTAATTATATTGTTTGATTTTTACAGTGGATTTTTTATGTTAAATTGGTTTTTTTTTGATTTGTATTTTTTTTAAAAACTAATATTAGAGTTGTATAAGTTGAAATTAAATTTAAAAACATAAAATAATTAAAAATGAAAGTTATCGAAATTAGTTACAAATATTATGCAGTGAACAAGGATAGATTTAAAGAATATTTAATAGCCAAAGCAAAATCCAATTATTTTCAATAATTTATTTTTAAATATGAATTGTTTGATTTTGAATTTTTTCTTTTTTTTTTTTTAATAAATATGAATGAATCATTCAATCATCTAAATGATTTCATTTATTTGACTGGTTGTTAATTGAATGACCGATTGACTGACTGATTCATTTGTTCATTCATTCATTCATTCATTCATTCATTCATTTAATCTATTTAGGATGGAGTGAAATAAATTGTTTTAATCTTAAATTTAAAAATTACAATAGTTGACCTCCTTGGATTTATCACTACATAGTCGTATACCCCGTTCAATTGCAGCGAGAGAATATTTGATGTAGTCACTGGATTGTACTGATTTCAACATTCCTATAAAGAGAAAAAAAACCTTGAATTAGTTCAACATTTGTAAAAAAATATAAGACAATTTATTGAACAGATCATTCTCTCTCTCTCTCTCTCTCTCGCTCTCTGATTTGTTCTTTCATTACAAATTCGCAAAAAAAAGAAAAGAAAAAAGAAATGAAGTGCTGAACATCAAAGACGATATGAATGATACAGCAAAAATTACATCAAACAAAATTTAAAATCAAAATTTGAAATCAAATATACAATTTAATTTCTAAATTTTCAAAAAGAAAAAAAGTATACTACCTTCAACATCCATATTACCCAATAAAGACATAAGTATAGGGAAACCATCTTTGTCTGATAAAAATCCATAACCACAATATTTTTCGAGAATCTGAAAGGAAATAAATTTGAAATGAAAAAAAGAGAATTTACATGAAATGAATATCCTAGAAATCAATCAATATTGCTATTCCTTATCGTTAGCATTTTTTTTTAAATCAATTTATTACTAGTTGCTTATTTGTAATAAAATCACTCTCATTGTATTGACTGTTTAAAGATAGGTGGATCGGATTTCGATTTTTGTTATAATTTCTTTAATATTGAAACGAATTTTAATAATATTATAAGCAAAATTTCAAAAAGATATTTACAAAATATTCGTCTTCCAACCTCTCTTCATGTTTTTCGAAAAGAAAAAAAACTGGAAATACTTCAGGTGCTTTCCAATTGGGTAAATTATCGAGATCCCACGCTTTCCGAAATATCATGTGTTTTTTCAATGCATCAGCTGTTTCATCGAAACGTCCGTCACGTGAACGTAACCACCTTGAAAAGAACAACACGTAAATTTGGTCAGCACGAAAGTATTTATATGTGTGTAAAATAATTTTAAATAGAAATAAGAATTGATACAAAATTTTAGGAATTGAGAATTGAGAAGACAAACAAGTATTGCTAAAAATTCTTACATATCATATTTTACAACTGATATTCATTCTTCCACTTTTTAAAGGAAAGGAATTAATCGATAATTCTCAATTTAAAGTTTATCAAAGATAAAAAATTAAATTTCATAATTTATAAAACATTTATTTTTCCGGTAAATCCGTAAACAGAAGGAAAGAAAATGAAATGATATCAAATAAAAAAAAAGTCACAAATATGTTGCTTATTATGATTAATATTATCAGTTTATACTGGCTACTTGACATGATCGGATCAATTATAACGGGGCGGGAAAACGAATATGATCAAAAAATAAAATAAAATAAAATAAAGAAATCAAATTCCAGCATATAATTTGTGATATTCATTATACCATGACATATACGTTTCAATTGATGTAAATAAGTAAACTGATAATTTTTAATTCCAAAAATTTTTTTTAAAATATATTTTCGAAAGATTTTTTGGAATTTTTTAAACGATTGTCCCTTCATTAGTTATAACTAATTAACTACTGCTCCTATATTTATCATAAATAATTATTCAAGTGTAAGTGTAAATAATTAATTGAATGCAAATATAAATGCTCAAAGATTTTAAAGGATATCTGAAAATGGATAAAATAGAAGATTTCGTAATAAATAAATTTAATTCTACTCAATTTCCGAAAAATTAATATAACTTTTCATGTATTATTCATTAGTTATTTTAACTATATATACAAATATTTAAATGTAATCATATTCGTTTTGTGTTCAAAGATTTTTATTAATTATTTATTCAATAAAACTAATTAGTCATTTGTTCGATACACTTTTTGTTTTACGAAATCATATAATTAACAAATAATTAGTGATATGAAATTAACTGTTCAAAATCATTTTAAAAAAATAATGAAAAGAAAGGAATTAAACTAATGTAAATGTGATCATTCACCTCAACTTTTTTTTTCTTCCATTTTTTTAAAATTTTATTTTACTTGATCGAAAAACTACAAATTTCCAAAAAAAAAATGGTTAATTTTAAATTAGTTCAGCAGTACAATAAAAACACCGTAGGGGATATAAGACAGAGATAGAGATAGAGAGAGAGAGAGAGAGAGAGAGAGAAGAAGAAGAAGAATCAACTCATTAATTCTTAAATATAATGATATTGTCTTAAGATTAATTAAATGAAGAGCAAAAATCAGTTCAGCCATATTTGCTTTTAAATTTTGTTTTTCAATTTTTTTACTTCATTAAAAAAAAAGGTTCCTCTTTATCAACATTTATAAACAAAGAAGGTAAGGAAGACTGGTTTGGTAACTTTTTCTTCCGGAGTTTTTCCGAAGTTTTTTCCCGAAAAATCTTCATTTTTCATTAATTTTATTACAACTGAATTTTTCAACATCATCAAAGCATTGGGAGAAATATTTCAAAATCAATCAATATTCATATATCAATGGAAAATACTCTCGCAATATTATTTGAAGGGAAAATTTTAATATGTGATATGTAAGGCACTTCTTTTCTTTTTTCAATTTTTTATTAATTATTGTTTTTAATTGACCATTATAAATTGCAATATTTGAAAAGTATGAAATTTACTATTGTTTTCTATTACTGCTTCAGCAGCATTAGCATCAGTAATGATATATTACGGTGACTATACAAACCTAAAATTATTTATTGACATTTCTCACTTGTAAATTATAACTTGATACGGTACGCCGTACCATCGTTCAACAGTATGCTACTATATGTTATACACCGTATGAGTTGTGCTACCGTATCATTATTATATGAAAGACTTTGTTTTATCAGCTTTCATAGAGTGACAATTGACTATTCAAATTTCGCTTCATTTTTGGATCAATGTTTGAAAAATTTAGAGGAACCAAAATTTTAATGATCAATTATATACGGTGTGCTATCGTATCTTTATTATATGAAACGCTTTGTTTCATTCGCTTTCATCAAGTGACAATTCATTATTTAAGTTTTGCTTTATTTTTAAGCCATTCTAAATCAGTATCTGAAACATTCAAAAGGCAAAATTTAAATGATGAATTACGTATGGTATACTACCGTATCTTGGTTATATGAAAGGCGTTTTTTTAATCTATTTATTCTTTCATAAAGTGACAATTGATTGATCATTTAAATTTCGTTTCCTTTTTTTTCCCATTCTATGCCAGTGATATCTTTATTTTCTTTTGAAATTTAAAATGAAAACTTTTGTCATTGCCTAATGAAAAAGGCACAGATTATAAATTT